TTGAACTTGTCGGCTTCTACACGCTTGTGAGCCGTTTATCTAAGATAAATTTCTCTCTCTCTCTCTTTCTCTCTCTATAAATATATATATATACTTTGCTGGTTTTTGTGTTTCTCTAGAGAACCTAATCCAACACAACAGTCATTTGAATGGAACAAGTAGATAGTGAATGGTTTAAAATGAGGAAAGATGTGCATCTGTGCTATATCCTTTCACCATACTTACTCAATCTGTATGCTGAGCAGATATTCTGAGAAAGTGGACTGTATGAAGAACATGGCATCGGGATTGGAGGAAGAATCATTAACAACCTGCAATATGCAGGTGACACAACCTGCAATATGCAGATGACACAACCTTGCTTGCTGAAAGTGAAGATGACATGAAGCACTTACTTACAAAGATCAAAGACTCCAATCTTCAATATGGATTACACCTCAAAACAAAAATCTTCACAAGTGGACCAATAAGTAACATCATGATAAATGGAGAAAAGATTGAACTTATCAACGATTTCATTTTACATGGAACCCAATGCCCATGGAAGCAGTAGTAAAGAAATCAGATGACATATTGCATTGGGCAAATGTGCTGCAAAAGATCTCTTTAAAGTGTTAAAGAGTAAGATGGCACTTTGAAGACTAAGATGCACCAATGCAAGCCATGGTATTTTCAGTCACATCCATATGCATGTGAAAGCTGGATAATGAATATAGAAGACTGAAGAATATAATTAATGTATTTGAATTGTGGTTTTGTAGAGGAGTATTGAAAACACCATGGACTGCCAGAAGAATGAATAAATATGTCTTGAAGAAGTGCAGCCAGAATGCTCTTTGGAAGCGAGAATGGACAGACTTTGTCTCACCTGCTTTGGTCATGTCAGAAGGGACCACTCCCTGGAGAAGGATACCATGCTTGGTAAAGTAGAGGGTCAGGAAAAAAGTGGAAGACCCATGATGAGATGTATTGACACTGGCTACGATGATGGACTCAAGCATAGCAAAGATTGTCAGGATGGCACAGGACCAGAGAGTGTTTCGTTGTGTTGTACATAGGGTCAGCATGAGTTGGAGCTGGCTTGATGGCACTAACAACAACAACAATCATTTCTTCTACATTTATTAGCTAGGATTTTTCTATAAAAGATTTTGCCTCATCAACCATTTGGTTACCCTGAGATGAGACAAATTATTTTCTTTATTTACGAGTTTTTAATAAGTTGTTTTCCTAGCATACTCTATGCATTTCTTTGTTGTTGTTTTTAATGTTATCATTATGAACTTAAGCATTTTAATATTTTCAGGTGTTATAACCCTTTGCACTCATTATCTTCTTTAATGCCAAATTGTTCTATCTTTGGCTAGTTAGCTCCTGTATACTTTTGATATAATTTCAGTAGCTTTCTGTGTGGCAAGATGTTCCAGGCTTATCCTGTACATTTCTTGTCCCAGACTTGAAATCAGTCATTTTCCCTTGTTTCTTTTGGAAAGAGCTCTGGTGGTATAGTGCCTAAGGCATGTGACTGCTAGCCAGAAGGCTGGTGGTTCAAACCCAACAGCCACTCCTTGGAAGGGAGGTTGGGTAATCTACTTCTGTAGTGATACTGCCTTGGAAACCCAAGGAGGGGTCACTATGAGTCGGATCCAACTCAACAGCAGTGAGGTTTTTTTTTTTTTTTGGAAATTAGAGACTACAGTCTAAGTTCTTTGGCTGCTCACTGCTATTGGTTTGGTCATTACTTCTAGACATTTTAAAATGTGTTTATGTTTGACAGGTAAAATATGTCATGAGTTCATCCTGACATTTCCAATGCAAAATTCAGAGTTCAGAGTTTTTGCTCTTGGTTTTTTATTTGTAGCTCTTTTCTCTTATAAAACAATTTGGTTCCTAAAGACACTGACTTTGCTTTATTTTAAAATACAACTTAAAAACAATAATGACAATTTTATTCTAACAATCTAATTATTAAATACTACTTAGAGCTTCTTGTTTTCTTTATATTAGTATAAGCAAATCCAGATATCTTCATATTGTTTCCTTTCTTAGAGAAAATGTATCATACTATATATACCTGGCTGCACCTTGCAGTTTTTACTTTACAGTATCCTGGCAACCACTCCTGTATCATCCTCATTCTTTTTTTTTTTTTATAGCTGTATAGTATTCCTTCTTATTTCTAAGAGGTTTTCTTTATCTGCAGTTTAGTTGGTTGATTTTTATATCCAAATATACCATTTTATGCCATGTTCCTATTGAATTTTGTTTTTATAAGACTAACTAATCAAAAATATATTGAATATTTGTGTGTTTTGAAATGTTACTAACTTACCTAATTAAACAATGTTTCAAATTTTGATTGTTTTTCATTGTTTGTTGGTAATTTCATTTTTTCTTATTTAGGTTCGTAATGTTCTTAATGATGCAGTGGATTTACTGGAATTCCGTGACAGAGTCATTAAAGCTTCTTTGAACTATGCACACTTAGTTGTTTCTACATCTCTTCAATGCTATGTGTTCTCGTAAGCATTTTATATTTCTTAATACAGAGTTTGTTTGTAATGAGGAATTTATTTTCAAATTGTCCTTTCAATATGGTTTATTTTAAAGTTAACTTTCTCAAAATCTTACTTATCCTAAACTTACCCCGAAGTAGGAATTGATAAAAAGTGAGCTATAAGCAATGATCGTAGATCTAATAAGAGTTATCCATCAAAGGGTTAATTAATAATCACTTTCCTTATAGGAAAGATCTTTTCTGATACAGTGTTTACTCTTACTTTACACACAGTTCCAGGAGATTTGCTTTCAAAGCCCAAAGCAGACTCAAAAAAAAAAAGACATAGAAAAAGAAAGAAAGACCAAATTCACTGCAGCTAATAACAACAACCTGGTAAGTGCAGATGCAGGTGCAGGGCACTCACCTGGGGGTGCTACCATGCGCTGCCATTTCTGGAAAAGGCAGGTCTTGAGGCAGTCACGGGGGCTGAGGCTGTAGGTCTTGTGGCGGACATGAGCTCCTGCATGGGCTCAAATATCACACAGAGCTGTGGGGTAGACAAGGAGGCAGTTTGTCAAGGAAGACACATGGGTTGTTGTTGTTATTGTTATGTGCCATCAAGTCAGAACCGACTCCTAGCGACCCCTCCTTGGGTTTCCGAGGCAGTTATCACTACAGAAGTAGATTGCCCCATCTTCCTTCGGAGGAGTGGCTGATGGGTTTGAACCGCCAGCCTCCTGGTTAGCAGTCAAGTGCCTTAGGCACTATGCTACCAGATCTGCAGCTAATAAGTGATGGGAAAAGGAACCACCCATCTACTATGAGATGGATTAACTAGTAACCTGACAAAAGGCAGGAATAGCTGAAAGATCATCAGTAAGGAGACAAGCTATATTTAGGCTTAATATCATACCCCAGAGTAATCATGTATGTTCATACTGATGGCCCAGCGATGTCCACAAATGATGAAAGAAAATATATTCAGTATAATATGTGTTAAAAGGTAGGAATGATTCAATATATTCAAGAAAGTTGTACCTAAAACTTTAAAAACATACAAGATATTTTAAAGAGTACCAACAAATTTTTAGTAACTAACCATACATGATATTTCAAAGGACTGATAAATTGTTAGTAACTAGTTTTCTGGACAAAAGCAAACCTAGTTTTTTTTCATTGCTTATAGCTCACTTTTTTTCAGTTTGCAGATTTTTATGATTTCAAGCTACCAGTGTGACTTAGGAAGAAATACATAGTAGCAAACCATTATGTAGTATTTCTACCATAGAAATACAATTGATACAAATAATCTCAAGTGCATAATAGAATGTAATAAAAATTTGGAAGTGAAGAGTTTTGAGAATTTATTATTTTTGTTGTGAATGTAATTTACTTAATGTAAGTTTATATAATTTAATTTTTAATAATGACTATATTTAGCAGTCAGGTTGCCAAATTTCTGAAAATTTAACTATTAGTACAAGCTGGCTTCATCACACTACAGGCTGACTCTTCAGTTATTCAGAAAACTCAGGTAATCACCAGACACTTTCAAGAATTGTTTATAGTTAAGCATTTGAAAAAAATTGTGCTTGTATTTATAACATGTAGTTATAGTTTAATCATTGAATATAAAATTGAGTGTAGAGACCATATTATTCACCATTATATACTCAGTGCCTAGTACGGTGACCAACATGTAATAGTGACTTAATGAATAAGTATTTTTGAATGAATAAATGAATTGAAAAACATAAAATCTTGTGTTGTTCCAGTAATACCCCGTAATACACAACACAAAGGTATCTGGTTTAAGTACTACAACTATATGTTTAAGAATTCTACTCCTTATATGTTACTAAACAGAAACTGCAGCCTAGGATATTAGCCAAGTCTGGAATAGTGAAATAGGGAAAGGAAAGGAGAGAAGGCAAAGAAATAAGCCACTCAATTTTATGTGAATTTTTTTTCTTACATGACAGAGGAGAAACAGTAAGAATTTGGGATAAAGAAAGAAAGATACCAAGTTAAAGAGTCGAGGTCCAGGGAAGGAGTTACAGAATGTGAAAAGACTCAGTCACTTAATGCTCATAAGTATTTGAATCATTAATTTGGGTGGTGGTGAGGAAAATAGACAGGATATCTTCAGTTTAAGGTTTCTTTGTTTGAAGAAAAGTAAGGCTTTTAACTGCCCTAAAACAAAAAACCAAAACGAAACTCACTGCCATTGAGATGATTGGCCTCATAGTGATCCCTCCTTGGGTTTCTTAGGCAGTATCACTATGGAAGGAGCTCTGGTGGCATAGTGCCTAAGGCACTTGACTGCTAACCAGAAGGCTGGAGGTTCAAACCCACTAGCCACTCCTCAGAAGGAAGGTTGGGCAATCTACTTCCATAGTGATACTGCCTCAGAAACTCAAGGAGGGGTCATTATGAGTTGGATCCGACTTGACAGCAAATAACAACAACATCGCTATGGATGTAGATTGCCCATTCTTCCTTCTGAGGAGTGGCAGGTGGGTTTGATTAGCAGTCAGATGCCTTAGGCACTATACCACCGGGGTTTACTCTACTAGTCTTAGTGAAAAGGACATGTTTGAATCTGTAGGATCAGTATCATTAAATATTACTTGTATTAGAAAGGTTACTTTTTAAAATACCTGCCACAAGTTTAGCAGCTGCTACTTAAATTTTTCTTTCTTGTTGATAACCCTACTTTTCCCATATCAGTTAATATATGGCAAAATAAAATTTTGCCTAAACTCTTCTTTTTTGATTTAACTTTTTCCCCTTTTCTTGTTGTCAGGACATTTATTAAGTTACAAATTATTTATTAAAGCAAAATACTAGGGAAATAGTGGAGCTTGTGCCATGGAAATGAGGCAGTGCTAAAACTTATCTCCAAGATATATTTCGTTAAATTAAAAATACCTACTAGTATTTTTCAGAAGGAAGACTGGGGAATCTACTTCTGTAGAAATACCACCTTGAAAACCCAAGGAGTTTCTAGGACTCAGAATTGACTCCATGGCAATGAATTTGGATTTTTTTTTTTACTAATATTTTAGATAATAACTATCATTTATTGAGCACTGTTTTACTACTTTTTATGTTCATGATTTAATTTACCCTATGTGTTATTATTATTCCCATTTCAGAAGATAAGAAACTAAAGGACAAAGAGAGTAATTAACTTGCCTTAGGTCAAATTACTTAATTTTTTTTTCATTAAAGGGTAAGCTGGGATTTTAATCCAAGTTTTTAATAATTATTGCTGCCTGTTTGATAATAAAAGTATTATTTTTAGAACAAGAATTCCAGCTCATACTAGTTTATATGAAAAGAAGCTCCAGAAAAAGCAACAGGCAAGCATTCTACATTAAATTTTCATTTGATTTTCCACAGTTAGGTAAAAAATATTCTTGTTTTAGTCAATGTTATGGTTTAGGAAGTTTATATTTTTTTCATACATACATGTACACCTTAAAAAAACCTTAAAAAAGAAAAAAAAACTTAAAAAGAAAAAAAAAAAACAAACCTCCCTGCCATAGAATCAATTTGACTCATAGCAACCCCTTCTTGGGTTTCTGAGGCGCTATCTCTATGGAAGTAGATTACCCAATCTTCTTCCAAGGAATGGCTGGTGAGTTTGAACCGCTTCTGTTCAGCAATCAAATGCCTTAGGCACTTCACCACCTTAGTTGTCAAATATATCAGGTATTTTCTAAGTGGACATTTAAAAATATTCACATAATTAATTACTGCTTGTCTTATCAACTCTCTTGACACAGAATGAAGTGTAAGTCTAATGTTTGGCAAAATGAAACATGTTAGGATTTTTTCCCAAAGTACAAAAGCACATACCTTTTTTCAGACCGTGTACCTAACATATTAATTATTATTATAGGTTCACTGTTGTTTTGTTTTATGCATATATTTACTTATTAAAATGAGTATCAGATTCTGAATAGCCGAGATAAATTTCCCACTAATTTGCTTCTTCATTGCACCTCTCTCCCCCATCTACTTGATGTTAATATGAGATTTAAGCTGTTTTTAAGAATCAATTCTAATGCAAGTAATTGAGAAAATTCAGAATAGATAAGCATACAAATCATTTTAAACTGTGAAGTGACTATGATTATTTGTTGATGGATTTTTAAATTTGTAAGTGTTCTCTCCACCTATTTCAATTTTGGAATCATATTATCCTATAACAACAAAGGATCTTTTGTTCATTTAGTCATCCTTTTATTCAATAAACATGATCATAACTTATATTTATATTGTATTTTACAATTTGCAAAATACTTTCCAAAAATCTTACTTGAGTCCAACAAAATCATTGGGAGATCTATAGAAAAATAATCATGTTCATAATGTTATTATAGCTTCTGTTTGTTGAGTACTTGCTATATATTAAACAAACTAGACAGCTTGCCAGACACTTTATGTAAGTCATCATTATCCTATATTACAAATAAGGAAATTGATGCTTAAAGGTTAAACTTGCTAAGCTCATATGGCTGGCAGGTGGTGAAACCACATTTCTAATCCAGATCTGTCTAGCCAAAAGCCCATCCTCTTTTCACTATGTCATGCTGCTGCTGTTTTATAGATGAGAAACATAGATGACTTATCTCCGATTTATAGTTGGGGATACAGACGTGTAAGCATGATTACAGAGCAGTGTGCCAGTGCTATGATAGAAATGTATACACAGTTACTGTAAAACTGAAGTCACTTTGATGAAAATGAGTTCCTCTCTACTTACTAAAAGGTATTGGTATTTAAAATGCTAATAAATATCCATCTTTTTTGTCTTTCAGTACAAAAAATTGGAATACACCACTTATATTTGATCTCAAAGAAGGAACTGTTAGTCTAATTCTGCAGGCAGAAAGGTAGTTTGTTTATTATGTTTCTCTGTTGGATTTGGGGTTAAAATATCTCAAATGGCAATAAACCACTTTTTAAAACATGTCATTTACAAATGACACCTTAGTCATTTGAAGCCATTCTTTTCTAATATGTTTTAAAAGAAGAAGAACACATTTGTATCAGTGGTTCTGAAGCTTTTTAGTCTCAGAATTTCTTTACATTCTTGACATATTGAGGGTTACAGGTGTGACGTGTGTATGTGTGTGTATATATATATATATATATTACATACCATATTAAGGAGGTGTGGTGGCACAGTGCCTAAGGCATTTGATTGCTAACCAGAAGGCTGGCGGTTCAAATCCACCAGCCGCTCCTTGGAAGGAAGATGGGGTGATCTGCTCTGTAATGATTTACCTCTTTGGAAACCCAATGGGGCTCGCTGTGAGTTGGAATCAACTTGATGGCAGCGAGTTTGTTTTTTTATCTACCATATTAGGAATTTAAGAAATTTAAAATACTATTTTAAAATGATACGAATAAGCTCAATGCATATAAACATTAGAGTGATGGTATGAGAGAATGAAAGTGAAACAGGCAAATGACTATGAAATAGCTTTGACCTCTACCTCCCATGTGTCAGTTTTTCGTACTGTGGTGGCTTGCATGTTTCTGTGATGCTAGAAATGATGGCACTGGTATTTCAAATACCAGCGGGGTCACCCAGGTAATGACCCTTCCAGTGGCACTTTTCAGATCAAGATAGACTAGGGAGCAAGGCGTAGCAATCAATTTCTGAAAATTAGACAATGAAAATTATGTGAATCACAACTGAATTTTTAAAATATTGTCTTATTTATAAATACGTAAATATTTAGACAATATGTTTTTATATATATATTTATATCGGATGGCATACCGATTGAGATGTTTCAACAAACAGATGCCCCATTGGAGGCACTCACTCAGTTATGCCAAGAGATTTAGAAGACAGCTACCTGGCCAACTGACTGGAAGAGATCCATATTTGTACCCATTCCACAGAAAGGTGATCCCACAGAATGTGGAAATTATAGAACAATATCATTAATACTGCACGCAGGTAAGATCTTACTGAAGATAATTCAGAAACGTTTGCAGCAGTATATCAACAGAGAACTTCCAGAGGTTCAAGCCGGATTCAGAAGAAGACGTAGAACAAGGGATATCATAGTTGTTGTCAGATGGATCTTGGCTCAAGGCAAAGAATACCAGAAAGATGTTTACTTGTGTTTTATTGACTATGCAAAGGCATTTGATTGTGTGGATCATGACAAATTATGGATAACATTGAGAAGAATGGGAATTCCCGAGACTCGATTGTACTCATGAGGAATCTGTACCTTGACCAGGAGGCTGTCGTTCATACAGACCAAGGGGACACTACATGGTTTAAAATCAAGAAGGGAGTGCATCAGGGTTGTATCCTTTCTCCACACTTATTTAATCTATATGCTGAGCAAATAATCTGAGAAGCTGGACTATATGAAGAAAAACGTGGTATCAGGATTGGAGGAAGAATCACTAACAACCTAAGATATGCAGACGATACAACGTTGCTTGCTGAAAGTGAGGATGACTTAAGGCACCTACTGATGAAGGTTGAAGAATACAGTCTGCAGTATGGATTACGTCTCAATACAAAGAAAACAAAAATCCTCACAACTGGACCAATGAGCAGCATCACAATAAATGGAGAGAAGATTGAGGTTGTCAAAGAATTCACGTTGCTTGGTTCTACAGTCGATGCCAACGGAAGCAGCAGTCAGGACATTAGACGACGTGTAGCATTGGGAAAGTCAACTGCGAAGGAACTGTTTCAAGTGCTGAGGAGCAAGGATATCTCCTTGAGGACAAGGGTGCGCCTGACGCAAATGATATTTCTAGTCGCCTCGTATGCATGTGAGAGCTGGACAATGAATAAGGAAGACCGAAGAAGAGTTGATGCTTTTGAGTTGTGGTGCTGGTGAAGAATGCTGAAAGTACCATGGACTGCTAAAAGAACTAACAGCTCTGTCCTGGAGGAAGTGCAGCCAGAATGCTCCTTGGAAGCAAGAATGGCCAGACTTTGTCTCACCTATTTTGGTCATGTTGTAGGAAGGGACCATTCCCTGGAGAAGTATGTCATGCTTGGTAGGGTGGATGGTTGACAAAAGAGGGGGAGGCCTTCAACGAGATGGATTGACACGGTGGCTGCGATGATGGACTCAAGTATAGCAGGGATTGTGGGGCTGGCGTGGGATTGGGCAGTGTTTCGTTCTGCTGTGCATGGGGTCGCTATGAGTCGGAAATGACTCGACGGCACTTAACAACAACAACAATAACAACAACATGTTTTTATATTGTCTAATATAGTGCTTGAAGATGAGCCCTCTGGGTTGGAAAGTACTCAAAATGTGCAGTGGCCACAACAATGAACTCAAGCATACCAACAATTATGAAAATGGCACAAGACCGAGAATATTTCATCCTTTTGTACATGGGGTTGTCATGAGTTAGAGCCTAATCAAAGGCAGTTACCAAGAACAAATTTTGACCCCAAAGTCCCACTATTTTCTGTTCTGTCCAGTGCTATTTTTGTTGTTATTTTTAAATATTGATTGAAGCTCACTGTGGTGGAATTGGAAGTTTGAAAAATAGTATTTCCTACCAAGACTCTCAGGGTATTCAGGACTAAGAAACTCTAGGCCAGTTAACTGGAGTAAATTGGGAATAATTATTACTCAGGAACCCATACTTTTCCATGAAAACTGTGCATAAATCTCTAAAGAACAGTGATATCCTACTGAATCAGAAGTCAGACTTAGAAAACTACAGTCTAGTAAAACCAATGAAGTATGAACATTGACAATTATTTAAAATAGCCACCCTATAAAACTTTTGCACTGAGACCATGTATTTTATTTCTCATGCCCTTACCCACCACTGAGGCAACGCTTAATAGTGTTTATTATCAGGTTTTCTAGCCCACAGCCTTTTATAAATAGCAAGCCAGAAGAGGCATGGTGCTGGTGGGCAGTTAGAGGCTGGCACAGTGACAGGAAGAAAAGTGACTGCCTGACAAGGGAGTATAGAGAAAACGAAAAGCACATGACTGTATACCTGAGTAGTATGATAATTATTCTGATGTACCAACAGATTCTCATGAGTATCAAAGCTATCAGTTAAACAGTTCTGAAGTGTGTGATCATCATACTGATGACATTCAATGACCAAGAAAATGTTATAACAAATTTTGTACCAACTGTTTAATAAAATTGATTATATATTTAATTTTCTCATACATTTTTAAAACACAAAGACATTTTTGCCATTCAGAAGGTAAGATATTAGCTGTCTAAAACACCATATTTAAGAAACTCTTTTTACACTAACATTTATAAATAAACTTATTTATTTATAAATGTATTTATTTATAAATGTATTTATTGAATATCTTCTTAGATATACACCAATGGTATAAATTATTAGGTAAAAATATTTTACTAAGTGCCTCTGTTTCTAGTCTTATATATGTACATTTATAGATGTTTGTCCCCTGAAATATGGTGTTTCACAGTGATGTTAAAAGTTACAGCATCTTATTTAGGAGAGAAAATGCCTTTAGTACTCAGACTAAAAAGGAGTATATCCTAACATAATGTGTCACTTTGTCAAGATTAAAAAATATTGATTTTGTACACTAATAATCTCTTGTAAAGGCCGAATCTTTTAGTTAAATACCATTTAAACCAGTAGCTGTTGAATTGATTCCAACTCATAGAGGGTCTATGGATGTCAGAGTAGAATTGCATTCCATAAGTTTTTAATGGCTGATTTTTCAGAAGTAGATTGCCAGGCCTTTCTTCTGAGGCCTGTCTGGGTGAACAGAAACCTCAAGACTTTCAGTTAGCAGCTATCACATTAATCATTTGCACCACCCATGGACTCAGTTAAATAAACTACCCAATTGATACCTAAAGTATTAATTTAATTGAAGTGTATCCATTTGATATTCATTAGATATAAATTTTCATTGGTTTTGGTGTTTGTTTATTTCTTTCATTCTCATTTCCATAGCAAGAAAGAACAACTTGCAATCCCTGAAGCAAGAAATATTTCTGAGTCAATGATACTAAGACCTTAAACATAAGACTTTTAAGAGTAATAACGTTTTTCTACCCACTGCCATTGAGTTGATTCTGACTCATAGTGACCCCCATTGGGTTTCTGATTTGCTGTGTAAATCTTTCACAGAGTAGTTGATGGGTTTAAATAGCCAACCTTCTGGTAGAGAGTCAAATGCCTTACACTACCAGAGAGCCTTAATGATGTCTTTAGCATTGAGGAAATAGGCACGTCAGTGTAACAGTAGATGTGTGTGAATCAATACAACTTTTCGAAGGGCAGCTTGCAATATTTATAAAAATTTTAAAAGTATATACTTTTTGATCCAGTAATGGCACTTCTTGAAGTTATAATAAGGAAATGAATAGAGTAGACATACAGAGAAGTATATATATTTTATATTTTTTAAAAAATTGTGAATAATTTTAAATAAGTGTCCATCAAGTGTGAGTTAATATGGTATATCTGTATTTTCTGTTTGCTGCAGTTATCTCTAGGAAGGTTGGGTTGCAAAGAGTCTTCTGTTTTCTCCATTTGTTTGAATCATTTTTTATAATGTTTATAAATTTTCAAAGGAATGAAAATAATAGCAATAACATACTTACATTTTGAGTTAATAAAAAATTAACTACATAGGACCCTATGTCTTCTATAGCTGTCAACACAGCAAATGAACCTAAGTCTCTGTGGTAAAAAATATGTGAGTTTTTAAACATGAATACATTTACCATCTATCACCATATGATTTTAAAGGCAGAAGTAAATGGTGCCCCTGGTGCTAATTTTTGAGTCATTTTCATTGTTTGGAATTTTAACTAGTGTTTAATCTTTAATTATGGAATATGTGTTACTATTCCATGAAAAAAATATCACCAGTTATTAAGATTATTGAATTGTAAATTATAAGATTGTCACATTTCCTTTGTATAGAGATGTTTCTTTAAGAAGAGAAATGAATTGCAGATATAACATAGAAGAAGTAAAAATTTTAATTTATAGTGTGGTGATTATGGGCATTTTCATTTCTCTTACAGCCATCAAAAAACAAAAACTCAGAAAACAAACCAAAACAGCCAGTATTGGCTTTCAGTTTTTTATATTTTCATTATGTACTTATTATCTTATTTGTAAGATTTAGATTTCTCCATAGCATAAATTATTCTCTAACATAAAAATGATATATAATTCACTCCTGTTTGAGAATTTATTTTATTTTTACTTTTAGACATTTTCTTCTTGTAGATGGTGGTGGTATCTATTTATATTCTTATGAAGGGCGCTTTATTTCTTCTCCAAAATTTCCTGGAATGAGAACAGATATTCTGAATGCACAGACTGTCTCTCTGAGTAATGATACCATAGCAATAAAAGAAAAAGCTGATGAAAAGAGTAAGTACATTTTATAACTTCCATGTGACATTTCCATGAAAATTGCTAACAATGTAAAATTTTTTACATTAACTTTTATTTTCTCATCTATTAACCTGTTAAATTTATATGAAAGAATTATGAGACTTCTAATTTGTTCCAAACATGAATTAGAGAACTAAAGTTGTCAATATATGCCCAATTGATAGAACAAATAGATATTGTCACAACACTAAAGCTCAGTGGTAAGGAGTCAATCTTTTATTTATTCAGCAGGTGTTTGAATTCAACATTGTGGGTCTTAGAAATGATAGTTTTTAAATTAATTGATCATTTTTCATATTCCTATTTCTTTATTTGAAAACATAATAAATATTGTTCTTCATTATATTGTTTATTTTGCTTATGCTTATTTTTTAAAATAGTATCTTAATGAAGTAGAAAATAATTACAAATAATGGTAACTTTTTATAGATTGTGTTAGTCTTTAAAAGTATGCTAGATGTTTTGGGGATTCCCTAGTATACTTTATTAAAGCATTGGTCTATCACTGTCCCACTTTAAAATTTTTAGTATTTTTCAGATGGCATCACCTCTCCTACTGGTAGGAAATACAACTCTCTTAAATAGGGCTATTCCATCTCTTCATGCCTTAGGCCTTCTCTGAGAGAGGACATTTGGTAATTTTGTTTTTAATGGAATTCCTTTCTAGTTAAGAAAGAGGAATAGAGGGCTTTAAGAAAGAGTAATAGAGGGCTTTTGGAAGATGGTGTTGTACAGATAATACACACGATGACTCTCTCTTCCAACTGAGATCCAAAGCAACTAGGTAAAGCAGATACAAATAAAGATAATGAAGTTATGACCAACTAAGGAGAAGATAAATAGCTCTGGTAGCATAGTACCTGAGGCAGTTGACTGCTGGTGGTTCAAACTCACTGGCCACTCCTCAGAAGGAAGGTTGGGCAATCTACTTCTGTAGTGATACCGCCTCGCCTCGGTAACCCAAGGAAGGGTCACCATGAGTCAGCTCTGACTCGATGGCACATAACAACAACGACAATAAGGAGAAGATAAAGTATTAGATCCAGTGAAGGCAAAGAAAGAGAAGAGGTTAAATGACTGGGAAGAATAGACAGGCCCACCTAGCCAGTGGAGACAGAGAGGAATCATTGGAAATCCAAAAGAGGTTGAGGAGGAAGTAAGGTAAAGAAGAAAGAAAGAAAGAAAAGAAAAGAAATGCAGAACCCACAGGTGCTGGGGACTCAGAATAGCCACACTGGGAATTTTTCTGATGTAAGCTGGGACTTTGAGGGGGAGGGAAGGTCTTACTGGGAAATGGATCAGGACCGCCCCCTGGCTTGGGCTGCTGTGGAGTCTGGAGCAGAGTGGGAGAAAGGGTGAAGTGCCCTCTAAGTAGACAAAGCCCTGGAGTGGGTGCATGGCAGTGGCTTTGGGCCTATCTCCTGAAAACCCTTTGTGGTTTGGATTGAATCTGTGCGCTGAGTTTTTGCAGCTTGTCGTTCCACCCAGAGAGGGGTAACACTCTTTCCTTTGGGACTACTTTTGGATTTGAACCACGAGTCTTTGATTGACAGCTGGGTGCTATCTTTAGCAGAGGCCTTGAAAAGGACCCAGGCTGCCTGTGCCTACCATTGCTGACTATCTTGCCACAAATGTGGAAAACTCCTTCTGCCTTTCTATCCTGGGGTTCACTTCTGGCTTACTCTCTCTCTTTTTGTTTTTTCCTCTTCTTCTTTTCTTTTCCTTTTCTCCCTTCCTTGTTCAACAGGAGGAATATACTAAACCTCCACTAGGCAACCATAACTACTACACAGAACACCTCACCCGATAGAATGGTAACACGAATAGCTCCTGCACCACAGGATCAGTGACAGATGGTAGACAACACCTGTCCATCCTAACAGCAAATCCTATTTTCAGTGTACAGAGATGTGCACCCACATCCCCTCCAGTGATTACACCAACACAGAGAGAGCTGGAGAATGACCCAGTGTAGCTGAGTTAATAACCTAAGAAGTGCAGCTGCTACACACTCCCAGATATAATGAAACATAAAATCAGGGTGAAACAAATCAATACATAGCTAACAATTAAAGACAGTAACTTTAAAATGCCTAGGAAACAACAGACAAACTCAAATCAAACAACAACAACAAAAAAGCAGGACAAGATAACAAAAATAAAAGTCCAGAGTAAAGAATTATATGTCTTAGAGGAAGAACAAGCAATAGAACTATCTGAGAAGGACTTCAGAAGGTATGTGTGTGTGTGTATATATAAAACTCTCCAAGAGCTCAAGGAAACCATAAACAGAAACAACAAGAAGACAGACAGTACCCTGGGAGAATTCAGTCAGGAAAATCATTCAAGAACAAAATAATAAGACAAATACACAATTAGAATTCATACAGAAATAGCAATTAGAAGGCCATAAGATGAACATTAAAATTATAGAGATCCATAGCACTGTGGAAGGACACAAGAAATAGACTAGAACTGGCCGAAGAATGCATTTTCCAGCTAGAAGACAAATCCCTTGATGCCAGACTGTATGAAGAAGAATCAGAACAAAGAAATGAAGAGAACCTAAGAGTTACATGGGATGACATGAAAAGAAACAACATATGCCCGATTGGAATACCAGAACAAAACATCAGTTCTTTCAGCTTCAGAAATGCGAAGTGTGTTGTTCCTCCCTTTTGGTTTTCTAATTCCAGGTCTTTACATTTCATTATAATACTTTACTTTGTCTTTTCAAGTCACCATTTGAAATCTTCTGTTCAGTTCTTTTGGTTCATCATTTCTTCCAATTACTGTCTATAGAAACAGCCATCAATAAATCAATAAATCAGATGTCATATTGCATTGGGCAATCTAAGAAAATTGTCAAAGACTTGCTAACAGAAAATTTCCCACATATCATGAAGGAAGAAAAGATACCCATCCAGGAAGCTCAGTGAACCCCATACAGGATAGATCCTAAGAGGAAGTCACCAAGCATATCATAATCAAGCTTTCTGAAACCAGAGACAAAAAATTTTGGGAGCAGCTTGGGAAAAACAAAATGTCATCTACAATGGCCAATCAATAAGACTAAGCTCTGATTTCTCAGCAGAAACCATGCAGGCAAGAAGGCAGTGAGATGGCATATATAAAGCCTTGAAGGAAAGGAATTGCCAACCAAGAATTATATATCCAGCAAACTGTCCCTCAAATATGAAGGTGAAATCAAGACATTCTCAGACAAACAGAAGTTAAGGAATTTGTGAAAACCAGACCAGCCCTACAACAAATGCAAAAGGGAGTCCTTCCAATAAAGAACCCACAACAGACAAGAGCAAATTAAAATCCAGACTCTGGACACCACCACCTGAAAACAAAACCAGAAAAAGATTCTCAAAATTAGTTCATAAGAAATGTACATAGAGAAATAGGAGAGTCAGTCTGCAGATGACACCAGCAACAAAGCAAATATAGGAAATAAAAGTTTTAATTACAAAATGTCTAAATGGATAGGAAGACAGGACAAAGTCTTTATAGGCAGACTGTTCCAGACTTAGAGAGAGAAGAATGTACTTCAGGGTAAACACAAAGATAATTAACAATCCTTCTAAGCAAACTGAGAAAAAAGAAAAAAAACATAAAAGGTTCGTAAGCACAAAATCAACAATAATGAAGAAAAGAGAAAAAACACTTGATAAAATAATGAACTCAGCACAGAAAAATAGTTGGAACAAGGAATTCACCAACAACACAACAACAACAAAAAACAACAACAATAGAATGACAGCAATAAATTTATACCTGTCACTAATTACACTCAATGTGAATGAACTAAATGTACCAGTCAAGAGAAAGAGAGTGGGAGATTGGATAAGAAAAGAAGACCCATTGATATGCTGTCTACAAGAAACCCAGCTTAAACACAAAGATAACAAAAAAAATTAAGGGGTGGTGGGAACTTCCGGTAAGATGGAGGAATAGGCAGCCAAGTGACATAGATCCTCTTCAACAAAGAAAAGAAAAACCAGTTGACAGAGATACAGATAATCCTGGAACCCTGAGCTTTGAAAGGAACTATACAGAAGTGGATTAGGCACCAACTATTGGAAACTCCTGAACGAAAACAGTGAGTACAGAGATGGTTGGAGCTGTGGACTGTCAGCTACTCTGACGAGACCAACAGCCTGAATATTTCCAAGTGATGTTGGGACCTGAGAATTCACCTAAAGATCAGTCCTGGTCACCAAGGGCTGCAGGAACAACTGCTCTGGTGGGCTATGACTAGGAAGGGAAAGCAGCAAGGAGGGAGACAGCCTGAGCTGTGGACTTTCTGCTGTCCAGAGGGTGCAGCCATTTTGATTGTTTACACACAGCAGCCATTTTGGATATGTAAAGTGACTGAGGGTGCAGCCATTTTGAATGTTTATAAGTGGCAACCATTTTGTATTTTAAAGTGATAGCATTCTCATTCAGATTCCAGGGACCTAAGAACAGGCTCTGTTTCCCAGGGTTTGCAAGGACATATGAGAAGCTGATAACAGGAAAGGAGACAGGTGGTGAGTGCATAAGTGCTGTCAACTAGTGAATAGAGGAGCACAGCACAGTACCCTGCCTGTATAGATAAAATATAAACAAAACAAAGAAAACAAAAATTGTGGGCAAGTCATGCCAACATATAATCACCAATTGAATATAAACAAAAACATCACAATGCCTCGGAGACAACAGAGCATCACAGTCTACTCAAAGAAGCAAGATAAAGCAGGAGAAACAAGGGACCAGGATACAGACCCAAAACATATCCCTGAGGAAGACACAGCATTGGAACTCCCTGATAAGGAATTCAAAAGAATTATATTTAGGTATCTTCAAATGATTGAGAGACAGACCAAGGAAAACCAGACAAAACC